CTTGATTATGGGTTCAGATTTTTTCAAGTACTGGTCTGCCCAACGGGTTAGTCAGACGAAGGGGGTCGGAGCTCTGGGCCCTTATAGGAACCTATAGGAATCTTACAGGAAACCCATAGGAAACCCATAGGAAGGCCATAGGAAAAGAAGAAGAGGGCTTCCTATGGACTTCCTATTTGTTTCCTATGGGTTTCCTATGAGTTTCCTATAAGATTCCTATAGGTTCCTATAGGTTCCTATAAGGGGGGCCGCCGCCCGGCCCCGTTCAGGTTTGATGCTGGCCCGCCCAACCTGCGCTCGGTACTGGCTCGCCCAACTCCGTTTCGATACTGGCTCGCCCAACTCCGTTTCGATGCCGCGATTTTGCATGTTTTTGGCAGACCGCATCCAGCCGAGGGTGGGGGGGAGCTGAGGCATTTGGCTGGGACAGGGGTGAGACACCTGACACCTGAGACACCCACTAAACGTCGAACAGGAGTGTCTCAAACGTGTCTCAGACCTGTCTCAGCAATAACAAGACAGCCAGCCAAAGATTGAGACACCTGAGACACTCCTGTTCGTGGTTTGGTGGATGTCTCAATCTTTGGCTGGCTGTCTTGTTATTGCTGAGACAGGTCTGAGACACGTTTGAGACACTCCTGTTCGACGTTTAGTGGGTGTCTCAGGTGTCTCAGGTGTCTCACCCCAGTCTCAGGATTGTCTCAACTGTCCCAACCCTCGGCTGGTTGGACCGGCGCCGGCGTCGACAAAATGTGGAGTTTTTTGCCAGTTTTTTTGGCGCAGTCACTCAACGCCAAAAAAGGCTAAGAGGGACAGCGGGCCTTTTTGTGGAGTTTTTGACACCCAACGGGATGGGCTTGGTTCACCAAACCCGCTGGGGCTTCAACACTCGAAAGGAAATATCAGTGTGTTTCAAAGCTGTCTCGAAGTCTTGAACCCTCACCAGTTCATACCAGTTCATTCACACTGTGCTTCCAGGTGACTGTTGCCAAATCGCGGCAAGTGTTGTTACAGCCTCCCTTAACAAGAAACAAACATATTTTTTTGAAAAAGCTTGGCCTGCACATCCTGCAACACCTGCCCAGTTGTGAGGGAATCTTCGGCAGCGACTGGACCAAGTGGAGCAGAGCATGGCCATACTCCTGGGGAAGAGTTCGCAGCAGGCCCAGATCTTTTGATCTGTGTTGCATTGATTGCAAGTGTGTTGGCGTCTGTTTGTGGCACCTCATTGTTAGAAATGAGTTGAGCAGCCAGGTGTCCAGTCCAGATGCCCGCTACCACCATCGAAATCCAGGTTAGGTTGACAGGTCTCAAAAAATCTCTTGAAGTTTCAGGATGTGTCCAAATGGGCTGCTGCTGTGTGTTGGTCCAGTTCAATCCTTTGACATGGTGCAAACAGTTTTGCCATCGCTTGTGGAACTGAAACCGAACGCTGAAAACAGGTGCTTCCGATCAATATCAGCCAGGAAGAGCATCTCCTGCAGGCAGAGTTTCACTTGAAAGATGTTGGGATGTTAACATGAGAGGTTTTTTTGTAAAAAGAGCCCACCGTGTTTTTAGAGCAGCTCGTTCATCCAAGAAAGTTCCAATTTTCAAAATCATCCTTGTTTGGATATTGTGGAAGGCAGAAGAGCACGGACGAGCTAGAGACGAGTCGCCAAAGAATACTTCCAGGTAGTTGCCGTTTCTTGTGACACCCTCAATGCTGTGTTCTGAAAGGATTCAGCAGTGTAGGTTCTGGATGCTGTGCGCAGCATCGTCCGTCATGGATTTAGTGCTCAGTGCTCAGATGCCATTTTGAGCTGTTGGTTTCTCTTTCTTCGCGCAGCAACATGTCAGCGCATGCCGTCATCACAGGCTCCTGCCGCTGACCGCAAAGCTTCTGTGAATAAGACAAGGGTGGTGAGCGCAAAGCTGTGAGCCGAATTCAATGCAAAAGAAGATCTTACACCAACAATTCAGGATTGAATCTTCTAGCGCCAGTCACATCATTTGTTGCTTTAAGCTCTGTGCACGTGCCTGAGAAAAAGGTATATGCGGAGGCTTTGACCAATCCAGCCACGCGATACACCAAGGTCTTTTGTGGTGCGCATGCTCGAAGAAACTGGGGGCATTTCAAAAAAAACAGATGGCTGTTGTTAGATTCAACCAACAGGGCTTTTCCTTTCGCAACTTTCTTCACTTGTGTTTTGGCCTTTGGGAGTGACAGCAAGACAGTTGCAAGCTGCTAAGCAGTCTTGTCACGGTCTGACGGGTGCAATGCAAGGAACTTGCACACAGCAACTTTCAAATGCACATGGCCTTGGCTGTCTATTTTCGTTCTCACGCTTTGCACCTCAGCTCTATGCCAATGAAAAGCAGAGTGGCGAGTAGGCTTGTTGTCCGTCCTGACTTGCTTGGTTTCTTTGGCCTGTTTTGTTTATCGCAAAAAATGCTTGACCACGAGTTTTGTGTAGGACTCTTTACAAAAGGAGTGGGCGTCGTACTCTGGGCTGATGCAAGTGCACAAATCAGCTCGGAGTTTTTGCAGAAGTTGTCCGGCAAGGCAGCTGTCAAGATTGGCAGATGAATCCAGACAAGACTAGAGAGGACCACATCGACACATCATTTAGTTTGAAGCCTGTTTGACATGCCATTCATTGAAACCTTTTTGTCTGTTTTAGCACGGGCGAACTAGTCTGGCCATGATCTCTTGCGTGCTTTTGGTCTTGCGCCTCAAAGCACGGAACCTAAAATGTTTTGATTTGGCTTGTGTGGGCGTATTGACAGCATTTGTGAAACCAATGCAGTGTTGCAAAGGCCCGAGCAGCCGCTGCCAAGCAAGCAAGGCGCGCACTCAAAGAAGGTACGCCAAAACTAATCTGACCCACAAGTGTTGTGCAAAGAACCCTCCTGAGCGAGCGAGAGTGGGGGATGGGCACGGAAAAGTGAAACAGGCTAACTTGCTGTCACTGCCAACGAGCAAGACATAAGATGCAATGACACCGAGAATAAGTTCTGTCGCCTAATTGTTTGCCAAAGCCACACCTCCCTATCTGACTGATGTCTTGCAGTTCAGTTGTGTGCGGAGTCTTTGTTGTTCTTACCCCCACAAAGTGCAATAATTGCGCCTTGCGTGCATTCCTCCAAGTAGATGGTAGGAAAAACCAGCAAGAGTTTGAGGAGCAGGATCAGGCGGGCCAGTGCCGCACGCTTCACACATCCAAGAATGAAACAAGCAGCGCGCTATCCAAAAAATCCGCAAGTCATGCGAGAAAGATGATTTCTGCCCACACCTGCAATGCTGTCTTTGATCTGTGTCACCTCAGATATTCAGACAGGCGCTGGGCCTTCAGTAATACGCTTTTGAACCCAATTCACATGGATTGGCACATATCGAGTGCGCCATGAAGTGGAGGAGGCTTCAGCAGAAGCAGGCTGCAAGGTTACAAAGAAGACAAAAGGGACAGCCAAAGCAGTGGTGCGGGGCATAGCCTTTCACGCGTTTTAGCCGCAGCTGGTAAAAGATGGCCTGGCCTGTGCTGCATTTGCATTACGTACTCAGCTTGAGCTCTTTCGGGGAGGAATTGTGCTTGTGCCGATTCCTGTAAGAGCTGTTGTCTACATGTAGGTTTCAAAAGAAAACGTACCCTCCAAACTGATTGCAACATGCTCACATGGTTTTTGAGTCTTGCAAGTGTCTGCTTGCAAATGAAGGATGCGCTTGTTAAACTTCTCACCGCAGGCAAGAATTGTGGATGAGAAGAAGCGCTTCAAAATCAAGTGGCGTGGTTATCAGGTCTCAGAGACTTGTTTGGGATTGAGTGTTGACAAGCCTTTGGACATCACCATAGCTGCCCTTGGAGATGACAGGCGCAAATTGTCAAGAGCGTCCCGCGTGCGAAGGAAATAGCGACGAAGTGTACGGAACAGATGACTTCAGAAATGCGGTGTTGGATTCGATGCAGACTCAGGCTTGCAACTTGCGCGGCAAGGACGGCGGAAGAAGGCTGTGGAAAAATTGAAGGAGATTGCTTGTGCATTTTCTTCCCATGTTGATTCATGCTGGAAACAACACATCAATGCGAGCCATTCCCGGGCCAGGAAAGGCTGAAAGCGAGCTAGTGAACTCTGAAGGCGGTTGTAGAAGTCAACCGTTGCAAATGCAAAGGGCACTCTTGGCTGAGCGAAGCTGTGCTTTTGCAGTGGCTTTACAGACCTGAAAGGGTTCTGTTGTGCGGGCGTGTCCTTTCAACCGCCAAAGGCTGACAAATAACGCGTCGGCTGAGATAGTGGGGCGCTTAATTCGTCAAGCCATGTTTTTGACTACATTTGTATCAGTTTTACAGTTGATTGAGTCAATCTTATTTCTTTTGTAGGCCTTCTCATGCCCTGCATTCAAGACACCTTTGCTCAAGCGGATCTCTGGAGTCAACCAGGTACCAGCAAACATGTCTCGCACATCGCATGCTGCACATGGAATGGAACACAATATATATTGAATGTGTAGTGTACACAGTTTCTCCTGATTGCACATACATGTGCAAAAGGTGTACGTAGACTGCAACTTAAAACCATATATGATGCATTAACAAATTTTAACAAAAAGAACTATTGAAACATATTGAAACTATGATAAAAACAGGTAAGGCTAAGATTTACCATGGGCATTTTCTGGATTTTTGCATGTGATGGTTGCTTGCTTTTGCTTCTTCCGCAGCCATTTCATGTGGAGCTCTGCGAACGCCCCTTCGGCAGGCCTGTGGGGACTGTGGCAGTGGTGTTGGTGGAGTGTAGCTTGCCAGGGTAGGCTTGACTTCGCGGCAGTCGGTGTATTTACAAGTGTACGTGCTTTTCGAGGCCTTGTGCGGAGCTCTCGCAGTTCCTGGAAGAGGCTCCGGCCGGCAGAGAGTGCTTCGCAAGCAGTGGCAAGCAGCTCTTTGCATGTTTTCTTTTCGCAGAAATCTGAGTGTCCAAGTCATGTTGGGCTTGTAGCAGCGATGAAACAGCGTATCGGAGCCATGTTCAGCCGCGTGCCCGGTAGCGTACCAGCTCTAGGCGCAGGTGCTGCTATCGGTGGCTTTGTGCTAGACGCTTGGAAGCGCCGACGAGAAGAACAAGATCGCGCTCGTATGGTTAATCGCGTGATCCACAGTTCCTTCCACGCTTTCCAGCCCAAAGTGGAAATCCCGCGCGAGCAGGTCCAGGCCCGGTGTCATGCACAAGTCGTCAGCATCCGTGTCGCTTTGTCTTTCACCCTGTTGTGCTAGGTCACCATGAAGCGCCTGCTGGATCTGGATGACCGCTCCCCCGTGCTGATCTGGGGCAACCACCTGGCCGGTAAGAGCTTTGCCCTCTTCAAGGCTTTCGAACAGGCAGGCTTTCACGAGGGCATCGTCCACGTGCAGCTCGCCGACGACAAGCAGGTCGCACGAGAAAAGCTTTGCCAGGAGCTGGGTGCCCTCGGCGACGTTGAGGCAAAGGAGGCCCTGAGGCAGGCGGCAAAGACGCTGAGCCGCCTGCCCATCATTGTCCTGGAGATCCCCCGGGAGGTCAGCGACATGGCAGTTGTACGCAGTTGCTCTGGCTTCGCCAAGACATGGGGCTACGACGCCGAATTGGCGAAAGTCATCGTGTTGGCGAGCAGCGCCTCCATGGCCCTGAGCTTTGATGCGGACGCCCGGGAAGTTCGGTTCCAGATCCAACCGCTGAGCGAGGAAGAGTGCCAGCAGGAGGAGGCGGGTTTGCTGAGAGCGTTCCTTTGAGTTTTTGTTTGGCTCTCCCTGACCAGGTCCAGACGTTCCTCAAGCACCACGGTGGAGCCGTCGCCGTCGAGCACAAGTCGGAACTCCTCCACCTCTCCGGCGGCAACGTGGGCAAGTTGGAGGCCGGTGCATTGTCTTGTCTTTCCAGCCTTGTCTTTGCAAAGGCTCGGTGTGTTGCGAAGCCTTTCCAGCCCCGCAGGACCTGGCGCAGGCCTTGCGGACCAAGACCTTCGAGGAGGTCCGGCTCGAAACCATCAGCGCGCAGGACGGGGTTGACTTGAGCCTTTTTGTTTTGCGCCTTTTTGTTTTGCGCAGTCAGGAGGAGGAGATCCTGCGCTTCTTCGGCATCGATGCGCAGGGCGGCTTCGGCCCAGAAAAGGTCCTGGCTGCCAAGGAGGTGGCCCGCCGCGTGGCGGACGCCCCCTTTGAGCAGTGCGTAAGGTCCGTGGACTTCGCTGACCGTTTCACCAGCAAGCATCTGGCACAGGCGGTGAAGGCTCAAGGTGCCCACTGCATCTGTGTCAAGGCCACCACTAAGGCGGATGAGCGGTTTTGTGCAGCGTCGCCATCCGTGCACGCTCTGCTCAAGCAGAAGACCGATGCGCTTGAAGCCAACACGAAGCCCAAACGCCGAGGAATGTTTTGATGAAAAAAGGTTGCATGGAAGGGCTTCCACAGAATTCCGGCCAGCCAACTGCGGTGGTTGGGAATCTTCTGATGCAATTGAAATCGACAGGAAGCCTTAAGAAGCTCATTCCACCACAGGGCGGACGTGCAGCCTGCCAACAGCGCAGGGCCAGGATTTTGATGACAGAAAGTTGAGACATCCTAGAGAGCATTAGAGTTTGAGCGAGAAAATGCAGATCTCCGCACTGGACTCAGTTTTGATGACACATCGTTGACACAGCCTAGGGAGCATCAGAGTTTGAGTGAAAAGAGGGGCAAGCTGCCAGTCCATGTTGACTTACTCTGCGCAGGCGGCGGCAGTGCAGATCTCAGGTTCCTGTTCAAAGTGCAGACCTCTGAGTGCAAGTGCCCGGTGAGAGTTGTGGCTAAGGCAGGGCGTTAGGTGTGTTGTTTGCCGCGTGTTGGGAGCTTGCGAAAACCCAAAGTACTCTAAGTACTTCCAACCAACTACTAAGTCCAACCTAAGTAAGACTCAGCAAAGTCTCCTTTTCTCCAGGCACATGAGCCTTGAGCCAAAGTATTTGGCAAAGTAATGATGACAAAAGTAAACATGCAAGAGGGGACAAAAGTGCATGATATTTCGCACGCCCCCTTGACTTAAAGCCCTGTGACTTTAAAGTCACACTAATTAACCTTGCATGTTTCAAAGTTGAATAACCATGCAAAGTACTGAAAAAGTCAAACTACTGGTTCAAAATTCCAGGATCAGAAAAGTTCAATCAGCATCTTTTCAATTATCCTACCAAAGTTGACTTCGAAACCAAAAGTTGGGATGTCTCTAGTACAAAGTGGTTGGCGCCGAAAGCACTTTAAAACTCCTTTGCATCGTTTGCCTTAAATAAAAGTGAGAGTGCCAAAGTGAGTCTGTCCCATGAACGTAGTTCAAGGATCACTTGAACAAAAAGCAGAAACAAAAGCTTGAAGCAAAAAGAAAACGACAGAAAAAGTCGACGCCCAAAGTTTCAAGTGACACTCAAGTGAATTCTGAATTCAAATGTACAGCATGGATCTGAAAAGTGGAACCAAAAGTTCTCAAGGGATTGCGTGTTCATTATCAGAAAGTTGATCCCTCAAGTTCTTGTGTACAATCAAATGTCCCATTCTGACAAAGTTGCCATTGGAACGTGCCACAAGCGAGTTGAACTGATGAGCCATAAAGTTGAAGCTCATACTGAAAGAGTAGAGTGCGCAAGACATCACACTTTCTCTTGGAAACTCAAAGTAATCCAAAGTTACATTGACCTTCTAAAAGTGATCAATGTAAGAAATCAAATAACAGCGAATATGACCCCGAGAGTGTGTACAGATGTAGTGTAACTCATTCATTCCATGTTTGTCTTACCAAATGTTGAAGAACTCATTTTGCCTGCGTGGCACCTTGACCTTTGGCTCAAGCTGTTGTCAAAACAGGTGCTGCCGTCTGCAGCCGATTCATTAAACACGAGGTTTTGAGGTTTGGACTTCGTGTTTAACTGGTTAACAGCCTCACGTTTTCATATTCTAGGTTACTGCACTTCACCGTAGGTCGAGCCAGCCTTCGTGTCGTTGCATCGCCTATCCATATTTCAACCAAACATCATCCGTAGGCAACTGTCAGCATTGAGTTACGCTGACCTCTTGCCTTCAGGTGTTTGATTGCGTGCAGCAACAGCATCACTACATTCAAGGACTGTAGGGTACCGGAGTGTTTGCGCTGTCCAGGGTGCATCCTCCGATTCGTATAACTAATCTCCATAACCCGTAGGACCTAGTTGATAATCCATAGATTGCCGTTTGCCTTCAGTGTGAATCCTAGGCCCATTTCCAAATTAAGTGAGTTGACCTTTGTGAAATAAGTGGTGCCCGACTTCGTCCGTGTTCCACTTGCATTGGATCATTGTCAAAGACCTCACTCGTCAATAATACCAACATCAAAGGTGTGCGTGTTCTGCAGTTGGCTTGAATTGACCCACGATTCGCCCACTGCATAGTAGAATTCGCAATATAATTTCGGTCTTGAATGCACCGTGAACGTACTCCTCGTGCCTCTGAAGAAGTGATCACGCCTGAGCGTTTGAATCAGCTGAACGAGGCACTGCAGAAGGACAAGGAGCAGAAACGAGGAGGAAAGAATCGAAGGCGACGATTGAAGGGCCCAAGGATCCCAGAGCAGGTGGGAAACAAGTGGGAGACAGATGGGAGACAAATGGGAGACAAGTATGAACGCATGCGGCCCAAGGATCCCAGAGCAGGTGGGAAACAAGTGGGAGACAGATGGGGAGACAATGGAAGACAAGTATGAACGCATGCGGCCCAAGGATCCAGAGCAGGTGGGAAACAAGTGGGAGACAGATGGGAGACAAATGGGAGACAAGTATGAAAGCATGCGGCCCAAGGATCCCAGAGCAGGTGGGAAGCAAGTAGGAGACAGATGGGAGACAAATGGGAGACAAGTATGAACGCATGCGGCCCAAGGATCCCAGAGCAGGTGGGAGACAGATGGGAGACAAATGGGAGACAAGTATGAACGCATGCGGCCCAAGGATCCCAGAGCAGGTGGGAAACAAGTGGGAGACAGATGGGAGATGGATGGGAAACCCAAGGATCCCAGATGTGCCCAAGGATCCCAGAGCAGGTGGGAAACAGTGGGAGACAGATGGGAGACAAATGGGAGACAAGTATGAACGCATGCGGCCCAAGGATCCCAGAGCAGGTGGGAAACAAGTGGGAGACAGATGGGAGACAAATGGGAGACAAGTATGAAGCATGCGGCCCAAGGATCCCAGAGCAGGTGGGAAACAAGTGGGAGACGGATGGGAAACAAATGGGAGACAAGTATGAACGCATGCGGCCCAAGGATCCCAGAGCAGGTGGGAAACAAGTGGGAGACAGATGGGAGACAAATGGGAGACAAGTATGAACGCATGCGGCCCAAGGATCCCAGAGCAGGTGGGAAACAAGTGGGAGACAGATGGGAGACGGATGGGAAACAAATGGGAGACAAATATGAAAGCATGCGGCCCAAGGATCCCAGAGCAGGTGGGAAACAAGTGGGAGACAGATGGGGAGACAAATGGGAGACAAGTATGAACGCATGCGGCCCAAGGATCCCAGAGCAGGTGGGAAACAAGTGGGAGACAGATGGGAGACAAATGGGAGACAAATATGAAAGCATGCGGCCCAAGGATCCCAGAGCAGGTGGGAAACAAGTGGGAGACAGATGGGAGACGGATTGGGAGACAAATATGAAAGCATGCGGCCCAAGGATCCCAGAGCATACCCGGACAGGAACGCAAGCCCGGAGACATTGCCGAAATCATACGGCCGGAGAGGCAACCCTGCAAAGGAGTAAGAACCCGAAGAACTACACCGATGCGCAATTTCAGTAATTACATCACAGATTCCGTACCGACACAAGCATGCGAAAGAGCACCACAAAGAACGAAATTAAAAGAGATGGATAGACATGCCAATTTTGATAAAAAATGGCATCGTCTGCCAAGTTTTTTGCCATGTCCCTCAATGACAGTGAAAGCAGGTTTCCTTTGATTGGCGTTGTTTTTCCCTTCGTTGATCTGTGGCAGGCAAACTATGAGCTCATCCAGATGGCTCCAGATGTGCATTATTTTCTCCAACAGGCCTCTTGGCCGAAATTTGGTCCGGGAAATCATTCGGAATTCTGGAAGCTCCGACTGATAAAGCTAAAGCATTGCATGAAATTGAGACGAGACTTTGTAAGGCCACGTGCATGAATTGGGCAGTCGAATTGGATCCAATGTCTTTTACAAACATGAAGCTGATTGATAACTGAACAGGTACCCTTTGAGCAAAACTAGCAAAACCCTACAGCTATCTACAGCTTAAGTTTTCAGATGCAAGGAAAGATAAGGAAAGTGGAATAATTCTGTATCACTTGTGCGTGAAAGCCAGGCTTAAGAGCATGTTTTTTACATTGCAGTCAACTCACCCTGTTGAGAGATGTTGAGAGTGAAAGGAATTTGTATTTTGTTCATGTTTGTCACAGTTTGTCCATTTTTGTCCTTTCCTTCTGTGTTTTGAGGTGGAAGTGAGTGCCGACGTGGCTTTTTCTTTCTGGCGCACGCAGTTAGGTACAAATAACTATTTTGACAGCGCGTGTCTCTGGTTGAAGAGCAATGAAGCGACATGGCGAAAATGGATGCCAGGCAAATTATTGTGTCTTCGCGGTCAAGGTTTGTTCAACCTTGCCACTGATCAATTTGTGGAAGAACGGCCTGCAAGTTGGCTCGAGAATGAGGAGGGTGCTTCGTCTCAATTCGTTGTTTCTCACACCTTTTTGTAATTCATAACAGTTATGCATAGTTGTGCTTCATTTGTTTAACAATTTGGGAAGTTTGCCAGTGTGGTCGAAGATGCTGCAGTGAAGCAAAGTTGGCATGTTTGGCGCTGTCTTTGCTCTGTATTCGTCCAGACACGAAACTAAGAGAATCTGATGATTCTGATGGATCTGATAATGTCTGATATCTATTGATATCTAAGATTGAATTATGACATAAATCTTCCTGGGATCAAGAACGCTGAGGGACTTGTCGCACATGTTTGCCTGGGAGTTTTTCGCGTCAACTGACGGATGACTTCGGGAAGACTGCGGTGTGCCAGCAGTGCCCACAAGGCACATGTTGAAAGACCTGATCTTCTCTGATTTTCTTTCATTTTCATGCATTTTCATGCATTTTTTTGATTCATTTCATTTTATTTCATTTTCTTTCATATCATCTCTCACCTCGCAGTGGAGATCTCGCCAGGCTTCGCAGAGGCCTCCGTGGGTAGCGCTGGATGCAATCCCTGTGCTCCAGGGTCGTACAGTGCTGAAGAAGGAGCTGTCAGTTGTCTCCTCTGCGAGGCGACATGCCAATGGAAACTTCGTCACTTCTCCTTGGGCAAGTTGCAGATGCATGCATAACAATTAGAGCTAAAGTAGAGCTAAAGTAGAGCTAAAGTAGAGCTAAAGTAGAGCTAAAGTAGAGCTAAAGTAGAGCTAAGAGCTAAAGTAGAGCTAAGAGCTAAAGTAGAGCTAAAGTAGAGCTAAAGTAGAGCTTAGAGCTAAAGTAGAGCTTAGAGCTAAAGTAGAGCTAAAGTAGAGCTAAGAGCTAAAGTAGAGCTAAGAGCTAAAGTAGAGCTAAGAGCTAAAGTAGAGCTAAGAGCTAAAGTAGAGCTAAAAGTAGAGCTAAAGTAGAGCTTAGAGCTAAAGTAGAATTAAAGTAGAGCTACAGTAGAGCTAAAGTAGAGCTAAAGTAGAGCTAAAGTAGAGCTAAAGTAGAGCTAAAGTGGAGCTTAGAGCTGAAGTAGAGCTAAAGTAGAGCTAAAGTAGACTTAAAGTAGAGCTTAGAGCCAAAGTAGAGCTAAAGTAGAGCTTAGAGCTAAAGTAGAGCTAAAGTAGAGCTAAGAGCTAAAGTAGAGCTAACGTAGAGCTAAGAGCTAAAGTAGAGCTAAGAGCTAAAGTAAAGCTTAGAGCTAAGCTAGAGCTAAAGTAGAGCTTAGAGCTAAAGTAGAGCTAAAGTAGAGCTAAAGTAGAAAGTAGAGCTAAAGTAGAGCTAAAGTAGAGCTAAAGTAGAGCTAAAGTAGAGCTAAAAGTAGAGCTAAAAGTAGAGCTAAAGTAGTGCTTAGAGCTAAAGTAGAGCTAAAGTTGAGCTAAAGTAAAGCAAAAGTAGAACTAAAAGAAGAGCTAAGGCAGAGCTTAGAGCTAAAGTAGAGCTAAAGTAGAGCTAAAGTAGAGCTAAAGTAGAGCTAAAAGTAAAGCTAAAAGTAGAGCTAAAGTAGAGCTTAGAGCTAAAGTAGAGCTAAAGTAGAGCTTAGAAGTAGAGCTTAGAAGTAGAGCTTAGAAGTAGAGGTTAGAAGTAGAGCCAAAGTAGAGCTTAGAAGTAGAGTTAAAGTAGAGCTTAGAGCTCAAGTAGAGCTAAAGTAGAGCTAAAGTAGAGCTAAATTAGAGCGTAGAGCTAAAAGTAGAGGTAAAGTAGAGCTTGGAGCTAAAGTAGAGCTTAGAGCTAAAGTAGAGCTAAAGTAGAGCTAAAGTAGAGCTAAAGTAGAGCTAAAATAAAGCTAAAGTAGAGCTTAGAGCTAAAGTAGAGCTTAGAGGTAAAGTAAAGCTTAGAGCTAAGGTAAAGTAGAGCTAAAGTAGAGCTTAGAGGTAAAGTAGATCTTAGCTAAGCTAAATTAGAGCTAAAGTAAACTTAGAGCTCAAGTAGAGCTTAGAGCTAAGCTGAAGTAGACCTAAAGTGGAGCTTAGAGGTGAAGTATAGCTTAGAGCCAAGCTAAAGTATAGCTAAAGTAGAGCTAAAGAGAGCTAAGAGCTAAAAGTAGAGCTAAGAGCTGAGTAGAGCTAAGAGCTAAAGTAGAGCTAAGAGCTAAGAGCTAAAGTAGAGCTTACAGCTAAGCTAAAGTAGAGCTAAAGTAGAGCTTAGAGCTAAGCAAAAGTAGAGCTAAAGTAGAGCTAAGCTCAGAAGTAGAGCTAAAGAAGAGCTTAGAAGTAGAGCTAAAGTAGAGCTAAAGTAGACCTTAGAGCTAAGCTGAAGTAGAGCTAAAGTAGAGCTACAGTAGAGTTAACGTAGAGCTAAAGTAGAGTTAAAGTAGAGCTAGAGCTAAAGTAGAGCTACAGTAGAGCTAAAGTAGAGCTAAAGTAATGCAAAGCTAAAGTAGAGCTTGGAGCTAAAGTAGAGCTACAGTAGAGCTAAAGTAGAGCAGAGCTAAAGTAGCTCTTAGAGCTAAAGTAGAGCTTAGAGTTAAAGTAGAGCTAAAAGTATAGCTAAAGTAGAGCTAAAAGCTGAAGTAGAGCTAAAGTAGAGCTTAGAGCTAAAGTAGAGCTAAAGTAGAGCTAAAGTAGAGCTAAGAGGTAAAGTGGAGCTAAAGTAGAGCTAAAGTAGAGCTAAAGTAAAGCTAAAGTAGAGCTAAAGTAGAGCTAAGAGTTAAAGTAGAGCTAAAGTAAAGCTAAAGTAGAGCTTAGAGCTAAAGTAGAGCTAAAGTAAAGCAAAGAGCTAAAGTAGAGCTTCAGTAGAGCTAAAGTAGAGCTAAAGTAGAGCAAAGCTAAAGTAGAGCTTGGAGCTAAAGTAGAGCTAAAGTAGAGCTAAAGTAGAGCTAAAGTAGAGCTTAGAGCTAAGCCAAAGTAGAGCTTAGAGCTAAAGTAGAGCTAAAAGTAAAGTTAAAGTAGAGCTTAGAGCTAAAGTAGAGCTAAGAGCTAAGGTAAAGTAGAGCCAAAGTAAAGCTAAAGTAGAGCTAAAGTAGAGTTAAAAGCTAAAGTAGAGCTAACAGCTAAAGTCGAGCTAAGAGGTAAAGTAGAGCTTAGAAGTAGAGCTTCGAAGTAGAGCTAAAATAGAGTTTAGAAGTAGAGCTTAGAAGTAGAGCTTAGAAGTAGAGCTTAGAAGTAGAGCTTAGAAGTAGAGCTTAGAAGTAGAGCTTAGAAGTAGAGCTTAGAGCTTAGAAGTAGAGCTTAGAAGTAGAGCTTAGAAGTAGAGCTTAGAAGTAGAGCTTAGAAGTAGAGCTTAGAAGTAGAGCTTAGAAGTAGAGCTTAGAAGTAGAGCTTAGAAGTAGAGCTGAAGTAGAGCTTAGAAGTAGAGCTTAGAAGTAGAGCTTAGAAGTAGAGCTTAGAAGTAGAGCTTAGAAGTAGAGCTTAGAAGTAGAGCTTAGAAGTAGAGCTTAGAAGTAGAGCTTAGAAGTAGAGCTTAGAAGTAGAGCTTAGAAGTAGAGCTTAGAAGTAGAGCTTAGAAGTAGAGCTTAGAAGTAGAGCTTAGAAGTAGAGCTTAGAAGTAGAGCTTAGAAGTAGAGCTTAGAAGTAGAGCTTAGAAGTAGAGCTTAGAAGTAGAGCTTAGAAGTAGAGCTTAGAAGTAGAGCTTAGAAGTAGAGCTTAGAAGTAGAGCTTAGAAGTAGAGCTTAGAAGTAGAGCTTAGAAGTAGAGCTTAGAAGTAGAGCTTAGAAGTAGAGCTTAAAAGTAGAGCTTCGAAGTAGAGCTAAAGTAGAGCTTAGAAGTAGAGCATAGAAGTAGAGAGTAGAGCTTAGAAGTAGAGCTTAGAAGAGCTTAGAAGTAGAGCTTAGAAGTAGAGCTTAGAAGTAGAGCTTAGAAGTAGAGCTTAGAAGTAGAGAGCTTAGAAGTAGAGCTTAGAAGTAGAGTAGAGCTTAGAAGTAGAGCTTAGAAGTAGAGCTTAGAAGTAGAGCTTAGAAGTAGAGCTTAGAAGTAGAGCTTAGAAGTAGAGCTTAGAAGTAGAGCTTAGAAGTAGAGCTAGTAGAGCTTAGAAGTAGAGCTTAGAAGTAGAGCTTCGAAGTAGAGCTTAGAAGTAGAGCTTAGAAGTAGAGCTTAGAAGTAGAGCTTAGAAGTAGAGCTTAGAAGTAGAGCTTAGAAGTAGAGCTTAGAAGTAGAGCTTGGAGTAGAGCTTAGAAGTAGAGCTTAGAAGTAGAGCTTAGAAGTAGAGCTTAGAAGTAGAGCTTAGGAGTAGAGCTTAGAAGTTAGAATTAGAGCTTAGAAGTAGAGCTTAGAAGTAGAGCTTAGAAGTAGAGCTTAGAAGTAAAGCTTAGAAGTAGGGCTTAGAAGTAGAGCTTAGAAGTAGAGCTTGGAAGTGGAGCTTAGAAGCAGAGCTTAGAAGTAGAGCTTAGAAGTAGAGCTTAGAAGTAGAGCTTAGAAGTAGAGCTTAGAAGTAGAGCTTAGCAGTAGAGCTTAGAAGTATTAGAAGTAGAGCTTAGAAGTAGAGCTTAGAAGTAGAGCTTAGAAGTAGAGCTTAGAAGTAGAGCTTAGAAGTAGAGCTTGGAAGTAGAGCTTAGAAGTAGAGCTTAGAAGTAGAGCTTAGAAGTAGAGCTTAGAAGTAGAGCTTAGAAGTAGAGCTTAGAAGTAGAGCTAATGTAGAGCTTAGAAGTAGGGCTTAGGAGTAGAGCTTAGAAGTAGAGCTTAGAAGTAGAGCTTAAAAGTAGAGCTTAGAAGTAGGGCTTAGAAGTAGAGCTTAGAAGTAGAGCTTTGAAGTAGAGCTTAGAAGTAGAGCTTAGAAGTAGAGCTTAGAAGTAGAGCTCAGAAGTAGAGCTTAGAAGTAGAGCTTAGAAGTAGAGCTTAGAAGTAGAGCTTAGAAGTGGAGCTTAGAAGTAGAGCTTAGAAGTAGAGCTTAGTTTAGAGCTTAGAAAGTATGAGCTTAGAACAGTTGGAGCTTTTGTAAGATAGTAGTAGAGCTAAGAAAGTAGAGCTTAGAAGCAGTGCTTCAGAAGTAGGAGCTTAGAAGTTAGTAGTGGAGCTTGAATTAGAGCTTTAGAAGTAGTGCTTTTTTTTGTGTTTTTTTTTTTAGTCTTTTTTTTTTTTTTTTTTTTTTTTTCTTTTTTTTTTTTTTTTTATTTTGTTTTTTTTGTAGTGTTTTTTTTTAGTCTTTTTTTTTTTTTTTTTTTTTTTGTTTTTTTCTTAGAAGGATGGCTGAGCTTTGCGTAGAGCTTTGAAGTATAGAAGTAGAAGTAGAGTTAGAAGTAGAAGTAGAAAGTAGAGGCTAGAAGTAGAGCTTAGAAGTAGAAGCTTAGAAAGTAAAGCCTTAGAAGTAGAGCTTAGAAGTAGAGCTTAGAAGTAGAGCTTAGAAGTAGGAGCTAAAGTTAGAGCTTAGAATTAGAGCTTAGAAGTAGAGCTTAGAAGTAGGGCTTAGAAGTAGAGCTTAGAAGTAGAGCTTAGAAGTAGAGCTTAGAAGTAGAGCTTAGAAGTAGAGCTTGGAAGTAGAGCTTAGAATTAGGGCTTAGAATTAGAGCTTAGAAGTAGAGCTTGGAAGTAGAGCTAAGTAGAGCTAAAGTAGAGCTAAGAGCTATAGTAGAGCTAAAGTAGAGCTAAAGTAGAGCTTAGAAGTAGAGCTTAGAAGTAGAGCTTAGAAGTAGAGCTTAGAAGTAGAGCTTAGAAGTAGAGCTTAGAAGTAGAGCTTAGAAGTAGAGCTTAGAAGTAGAGCTTAGGAGTAGAGCTTAGAAGTAGAGCTTAGAAGTAGAGCTTAGAAGTAGAGCTTAGAAGTAGAGCTTAGAAGTAGAGCTTAGAAGTAGAGCTTAGAAGTAGAGCTTAGAAGTAGAGCGAAGAAGTAGAGCTTAGAAGTAGAGCTTAGAAGTAGAGCTTAGAAGTAGAGCTTAGAAGTAGAGCTTAGAAGTAGAGCTTAGAACTAGAGCTTAGAAGTAGAGCTTAGAAGTAGAGCTTAGAAGTAGAGCTTAGAAGTAGAGCTTAGAAGTAGAGCTTAGAAGTAGAGCTTAAAGTAGAGCTTGGAATAGAATTAGAGCTTAGAAGTAGAGCTTGGAAGTAGAGCTAAGTAGAGCTAAAGTAGAGCTAAGAGCTAAAGTAGAGCTAAAGTAGAGCTAAAGTAGAGCTAAAGTAGAGCTAAAGTAGAGCTAAAGTAGAGCTTAGGGCTTAGAAGTAGAGCTTAGAAGTAGAGCTTAGAAGTAGAGCTTAGAAGTAGAGCTTAGAAGTAGAGCTTAGAAGTAGAGCTTCTTTGAAGTAGACCTTAGAAGTAGAGCTTAGAAGTAGAGCTTAGAAGTAGAGCTTAGAAGTAGAGCTTAGAAGTAGAGCTTAGCTTAGAAGTAAAGCTTAGAAGTAGAGCTTAGAAGTAGAGCTTAGAAGTAGAGCTTAGAATTAGAGCTTAGAATTAGAGCTTAGAATTAGAGCTTAGAAGTATTAGAAGTAGAGCTTAGAAGTAGAGCTTAGAAGTAGAGCTTAGAAGTAGAGCTTAGAAGTAGAGCTTAGAAGTAGAGCTTAGAAGTAGAGCTTAGAAGTACAGCTTAGAAGTAGAGCTTAGAAGTAGAGCTTAGAAGTAGAGCTTAGAAGTAGAGCTAAAGTAGAGCTTAGAATTAGAGCTTAGAAGTAGAGCTAAAGTAGAGCTTAGAATTAGAGCTTAGAAGTAGAGCTTAGAAGTAGAGCTTAGAAGTAGAGCTTAGAAGTAGAGCTTAGAAGTAGAGCTTAGAAGTAGAGCTTAGAAGTAGAGCTAAATTAGAGCTAAAGTAGAGCTTAGGAGTAGAGCTTAGAAGTAGAGCTTAGAAGTAGAGCTTAGAAGTAGAGCTTAGAAGTAGAGCTTAGAAGTAGAGCTTAGAAGTAGAGCTTAGAAGTAGAGCTTAGAAGTAGAGCTTAGAAGTAGAGCTTAGAAGTAGAGCTTAGAAGTAGAGCTTAGAAGTAGAGCTTAGAAGTAGAGCTTAGAAGTAGAGCTTAGAAGTAGAGCTTAGAAGTAGAGCTTAGAAGTAGAGCTTAGAAGTAGAGCTAAAGTATAGCTTAGAGCTAAGCTACTTCCCAAGTTGGGTCGTCTCATTGCGAAGTCACGTGGCTTCAGCCTTGCCGCAGGTTGGTCGCTACCAAGATGATTTTGGCGCCACAACCTGTCTCAGCTGTGGGGCCCATCAGACAACGTCTATCAAAGGAGCCAGCACTTCCCAGGACTGAGAATGCAGCTCAACTGGATCATCGCTGATACTACCATTACAAATCATTACATTATGTTACAATCTATTTTCATCATTTTTCATCCGTTACTGAGATGATACATCATGATACTCGTAGTCATCACCATCATCATCATCATCATCTTCATCTTCATCTTCATCTTCATCTTCATCTTCAGCTGCATCATTTTCCATTATCATTAACATCATGTTCATCATCTTCATCTTCATCTACATGATCATCTTCATCTTGAGCATCATCATAAGCAACATCAGCAGCACATCGTCATCGTCATCATGATCATCATCATCTTCATCTTCATCTTCAGCTGCATCCACCATCTTCATTTTCATCTTCACTTTCATCTTCATTTTCATCTTCATCTTCATCTTCATCAGCAGCGTGGGCAGCATGGGCAGCAGCATCGTCTTCAGCAGCAGCATCCATTATCATCAGCATCGTCATTATGAGCAGCATCATCAGCAGCAGCAGCACCATGGGCAGCAGCAGCATCATCAGCATCATCATTAGCTTTATCGTCATTAGCACCAGCATTATCATTATCGTTATCATCACCATCACCATCACTATCACTATCCATATATACATATATATATATATATTTGTTTATGTACCATCACCGTTATCATCATCGTCGCCATCGTCGTTGTTGTCACCGTCATCATCGTCATTGTTTTGATTGTTTTCATCATTGGCGTTGATTTCACAAGTGTCACTGTCGTCATTACGGTCATCGCACCTTTGAGTACAGTCCTTTGCAACAGTCTTGCGACTGACCTTCGTTGTCTTGATATCAGCAGGCTAACAACAAGGATGATCTTTCAAGCAAACATTTCATCTCATGGCAGGACTGCTTTTGCTCGGTTGGGGCTTTTTGGGATGGCGTTAAATGCCAGCGCTGTGTTGACGGACTTGTGTGCGATGGTGGGCTAAATGCTCCTCTTCAAAAGGGAGGCGCAGCACTGTGAAAGTGCCCAGAAGTGCAGACTGTCAAAGTGTTTGAGTGAAATCTTTTACATTGTGGTGCATCGTTTTGCATCAAAGCATGCCTCTAGCGCCAGGCATGTTTGCAGACACAACAAGTGGAAATTTCTCAGTGTTTCGCTGCAAGGCGGAGGTGCCTAGGATTGAACTGCGACAGCTGATGTTTGGATGTTCTGCCCTCTTCGATTAGGGGTAGGTTTTTAAGATTATGTCATAATGACGGCGAGATTCCTGAAGCAAGGCTGTTGCAGATTCAATGATATATGCAGCCCTGAAATTGCTTGAGACATGCTTCAAATTGAATTTTCAAACGATCTTGAAACAACATCTTGAAATACGATCCCGAACAACGCCCAAAAAAATCCAATATTGTAGTATATTCTTTGGGGAACAGTCTTTGGAGGTCTCTTTTCAGTTTTTGTTCGACTGATATGTTTGTTACGCATGTGACGCATGTGTTTGATTGTATCGTCAAAATTGCTTTTGAGCAGACGCTTTCAACAAGTTGCAAAGGATGTTTAGACACGCTAACATGGTCCCAGAGGAGGGAGGGATTGTCCATGCGTTTTGTAGCCTTGGCTATGGGTTCTTCCAGTGGCATTGCGATGCGTTGTGTGCTGCTCTGTGCTGGGCTGACAGTGTGTTTGCTTTGGGTTCCATTCTGAATTGGAGTGGTGAGGAAGAAGAAGAAGAAGAAGAAGAAGAAGAAGCAGAACAAAAAAAAGCATGTTTGCTGCTGCCAAGCGTTGCCTAGCAGGAAGCATATGGGTCCGATCGTAACAAAGAATGGTGCCATGCAGTAATAGAGTGTCCCACTGGATGCCCTACTCCTCGCACTGCAAAATGTATAGTACTGCCAGCAGTCCAGGGTACTGGTAATTCCGCATGTGTGTGGTTGAGGTTGCGCTGGCCCTTCAGGGACATATTTGCGCACTGTTTGCCCGTCGCCCCTTCCAACCCCAACCTCTATTCCGATCTATCCTGTGGGTTGTCAGATGTCAGTGGGCTGGTGCCATTGTAAAGTAAACGGTCGATGCTCACTGACCACCTTGTTTTGTGGAAGCCAGGCGTTTGGTGAGAGTGAGGACAGGTTGTTGCCCTTGTAGTCGTTGCGGGGGTTTGGAGTGAGGCCTTATGTTTAGAGCGTGTTTAGAGCATGTTAAGAGCATGTTTAAAGTTTAATGTGCTGCATCTTCTTGTGAGGCGCATTGTCCACAAGGAGAGCCTGGCAGCTGCTTAGCAGGTCGTGTGGGACGTGGCTGTGGCAGTTGCGAGTTCGGGACATATGTGCTGGCGGATGGCAGCTGCGCTCCCTGCACGGCGCCTTGAACTTGATTTTCCACTTCCCACTGCGATGAATCTTTAAGGATGATTCGGATAGATTAGGACTAGGGCCCCTGAAGCATGTGAAACCATTACCACATATTTCGTGATATTTTTCGTGAGATTTTGTGAGCGTGTCCGAGAGACAGAGATCGTTGTTGCAGATCACCGACACCATTTCCACCACTTCGATCACCTCATCAGGACTGTCATGATAGACATCTGGCATTTTTTTCTGCCTTGCTCCTGCAACCCAGGCCATTACACCAGCCTTTTACAGCATAGTGCTGCTGATTGTGCCTGGAAGTCTTGACTTCGGTAGTTGATGGAGTCCGGTAGAGGCAAGTCAGTAGATCGCACAATTTTGCAAAGCTGGAGATGTCTTGTTATTTGTTCTTGCTCTAGTCTGACTACACATCAGTTCACAAAATTATGTCAACGTGTTCACGTTTCGCTTTAAGGTCGTTGTTTTGCACTTCGGTTCATTTTGGTTCGACGCGACTTAGGTCATCGTCAGCATCGGTGCACTGCAAGTTCTCCGAGCCAAAGTTCGAAATTCTGCGATCATCCTGGTTGTTTTGGGCACCATGCTGGGGCAAATCGTAGTTTGTCTCCAGGCAAAAACTGATGAAAACTGAACATTTCACATATTTTCACATCATGTGAGGAAAGGGCGTGAGAGAGCGAAGTGAAGACGCGAAATGAATTGAAATGATGTGGAAAGAGGCAAAGATCAATTTTTGTGACAGCGATTGCTGCAGTTGAAAGACAGAGTTTACGACACAACTTTGTCCTTGCCATCGCACACTGTGTACGGCTGTCATTACGTGCGACATATATGGCCTGGGTTTGATATGGTTTGATTGCTTGAATTGCTTCCACGGGGAACGGATTGCATGGGAAGCACGAGCAAAGCTATGGAAATGAACGATGAACCATGATGAACCATGATGAACCTGTCGACCAGATTCGACCAGGCCATCGCTGCGATTTCGCACTTCTCCTTGGATATCCGTGAGCCCGTAAAAACTTTGCTGAAAATTGTGGACGTTTTCTCCTTCGATGTCGAACAAATACGATTTTCTTGCTTTGTGAGACTCGGCGGACGAAACGCGACCATGATCATCTACAGCAATCGTGAAGACATTGCTTGAAAGCATCTCCGTGTCTGTTCTTCTGTGGAAATTGTATGAAATTGTACATGTTTGGCAAACGGTTTTCTGAGTTTGAGGTATTCAGGCAAAGCTCATGAGCGCTGGTTTTGATTAGAGAGAGGGATATTGCGAGGAAGATTGTAGCATAAGATAAACATGAACCGTAAATCCGTAAGTCGTTTCGAAAGACTTCTCTCACTGTCTTCAACTCCGAGTACCAAAGTGCCCAGGAAAATTCCAGACTGTTCATGTATGTTTCCCGTGGCGCAGTAAGGAACACCACATCAGCAATATCTGAATATTCGGCGCAACTCTTGGCATATCCGTTTTTCTTTGGGCTGACTTTGCTGTGCTACCAACTTTGTCAACTCCTTCGGGTTCCGATGAAGCTCCGCTTTTCGGGCTTCTTGGGCCTCCATGGGATGCTCATGATGTCATTGGTCACAGCTTCTTGGATCAGAACTTGGATGAGAGAATTGATTCCACAACTGAGTTTGATTTAGAAATATATATTTGAAATATGTTTTAGTATATTTCATTGAATTAGTATGAATTAGTATATTTTAATTGACATTATATTGATCATGTGATGGTGCCTCGATGTGCCTCAAGGCCTCAGTTCTGGATTTGAGGCTTTGTCGCTCATGATTCTGCTCCCTTTACAATGCCGTGAGAATCCGAACGGACGATGGACCATGCAAGAGCGCCCAGAAATCATCTGTTGGACTGACGAGCACAGGACCGATGGCTCAGAGGTGACTGAAAACGACTTGCCGAACTTACCTGTTGCCAAATCAAATTGACCAATCTTTTTGGGATTTCTGTTGCTTTGGGATTTCTGTTCTCAGGACTTCGGCAACGCCGGAGTCAACTCAGTTGTTTCCTTCACTGCCAAGGTCACTAGTTGTAGTCAAAGCAACTGTCCTCTCCCAGCCATTAATCCTGTCCAAGTGTAACTGAAAGCATCTGAAAGCTGCAAATATTTCGAGATGGGCAGAGGTGAGTGGTCAAGATTCAACTGCGATTTTACTCGCAGTTGTTTGCCACCGGAGGACATTGGTGCTGCTTTGCGGAGCGGGGATTCTAACGTATCCTGTGCTGACAATCTCTGGGATTGCCTTTTGCACCTGGAAATACCCTCGGTGCCTGGAGTTGAATTAGCCACACGCTACAATAAGCATCATACTGCCCGTATCCGACCACGGTGAATTAGCCCGCAAGAATATTGCGCACAATCAATGTTAGGGTTGGCAGTGAGTTTAACCGTGATTGCTAAGAGTGTTGATGGGGAATTGCTTGGACTGAGCCTATTTAATAGTGGATCCAGGTTTGCTTCGTTGACCGAGCAGGAGACGTTTAACATGAAACATATATTTTCTAGTTCAGTGAGGAGCCAATGGAAGACAGTCGTGTTGTGATTCTATGGGTGCTGATGGTTCATCAACTGCTGGTTTTAAAACGGTAATCAGCAATGCCCTGGACGTGCATGTTTGATGGCAAGTGTAAGTTATGACGGTTACGATGAGATACTGTGCCTATTGGGATCAATGCTTGATAGCTCGTCAAACACAATGTTTATGGTCCGGCGAACATTTCCAGGTCTGTGTTTCCATGTTTCTTTGGGTCATCGTTGCTGGGGCTCACAAGCCATCATGAACCTGTGAAGGAGAAGTGTTTGTTTTGTTTCCTGGCACCTCTGCCTTAAGCAGGCCTTACATGCAGTTTGCTTTGTCAGTTCTGCACACATTGCTCCTTCAGTGTCGGAGCAAGGTGGCTGAGATCACATGATGGTTTGCAAAAGGTCGACGCTTGTGACTTGCAGAGACACCTATGTGTGAAGAAACACAGTTTGGGCGTGTTTTGGCGTTTTGGGATGGGTAGTTCAGTTTGAAAGTTCTTGAGAATTACTGGCAACAAGAGGCTGTTTCCCATGCGAGCCGAAGGTATTCGTGATGTTGTCCGTAATTGTTTTGGTCTTTGGTCAGAGAGACCAGACAAGGAGACGACATATCAGTGACTCAGTAGGCCAAGAGGGTTTTTGTCATACTTGGAAGTTCATTTTGCCTCCCGGTTGTGACTAGGCGAGTTTCTCTTCGGCCGTTTCCGACCTGATCGTGTCTTGGCTGCCAAAGCTGCCATGGTTTCTGGCTTCTCTATGCCGCCAGGACACCAAGGTCCGAAAGATAAAAGGTTAAATGCAACGCATGAGATCTGCCGAAACTGATACCAAGGATACCAAGATTCGCTATGATTCGATAAGTTCACGACATGGATTTTGAGGTCTGTCCATCTTCAGATGTCTTCATATGTCTGGTTTCCAGGTGTTTGTAAAGCCAATTTAATGAAGGCAATATGCTCAAGTGAAAAGCATTCCTCCGGTGGTCTCCCATGGTCGACGCCGTGGGCTGGGTGACCTTGGCGATTGCTTCCTTCACTGCTTGGGTTGGGGAACTACCTAAAGGAGCCCCATCCGAGTGCCACTGCAATTGCACCTGTGAGGTTGTGGCTTCGAGTCCATCTTCAAGCTGGACGTGGGAGACCATCAAGATCTTTGTGGGGGTGCTCGCTGGTCTGGCTTTGGGCACGGGCTACTTGGTGAACGGGATCCTGTGGTTGGTTCGGCGATTACATGTACGGCTAGTTCAAGCACCTTTGCCGTGTTCTACCACGAGGGCAACTTCCAAGGAGACCGTGAAGGGCTTGGAGATTGAAGGCGAGGAGGGTGATCAGCGTCTACTGGCACAACAGCAGTTGCAGCTGATTCGCTCTCGTAGGACTTACAGGATCTGATGGCTCTGGCGGAAGGGACCCGGGTGTTCCTGTTGCATGATGTTCCCCCACCTGATTTGTTCCATGAACGGTACATCCCGGCTGCTCATGTGGGCAGGGTTATCACATAGTTCTCACCCCTGACTTTGAGACCTACGCGGAACAGATCAGCTTGGAGAACGACGACCTGCAGACGTTCAGGGTGGCAGCAAGGAGGTGGGGCTCGGGCTCTTCCGGCTGGTTTGGGGCCACAGAATACCTATCGATTTCGCCAACTACCAGATGCTCAGATGATGGTGCAACTTCGTCGAGATGCACTGCGATGGCGATGGCCGTTGCTCCAGGAGTTGTCGGGGGCCTCCTGTGGTGGCAGCTGTGCCCCAACCAGCTGGGGCTGATGATGTTTGGGAAAGGGTGGAATTGGTTGGTGGACGATGGAACGGAGGTGATCCACGATGCAGTTGCCATCAAGAATGATCCCGATGGAGCCTTCCTCTTGAGGCAGATGAAGCAGAGCGAGGTGGAGAAGTTCAAGGGCAAGGAGGCATCCGCAGATGCTCGTCTCTTGGGGTTGGCTTTCCAAAGACTCAATCGAGAAGAACGGCAATGGCGGGACGTTTCCAAAGAGGTTGGATGACTGGGGCGTTCCGGGCCCAAGAACAAGCCAGTGGTGTGCGCGCTTCCTCAATCGGCGCAATGGTGGGCCGATGGATCATCATCGGTGGTGGGTGCAGAATCACTCACTCAAGACTGATCGTTGGGGGGTGGCGGAACACGAGAACCTTTATGAAGATCATCGATAAACTGGGGCGTTACGACGGCTTGGACTTGTCAAATCTGGCCGGTGCCGAGTTGGCATTTCGGAGGCTGCAACTCATTGAATATGTCTACAGCGAGCGAGGACCTGGGGGAGGAAAAGGTGGTTCCAAGTCAGACAAGAAGAACGACTACATGTCCTCCATGCAAAACTATGAGGCCAACATCTTTGCTGGAGGTTACAAGGAGTTTGGCGATACCATGGTTGCTCTTTCTCTCTTGGATTATGTGGCCAAGGAAGTCGAGGGGGAAGCGGCAGTTCTGAAAGCAGGTTCGAAAAGCCCGAGAAGAACGGGCAGCCGCAAGTAAGTGACTGGAACTTTGTGACGGGCAGGGTGCACTGGACCCCTGCCCTCTTGGTGATCCTTGGCTTCGAGGTCCTGCTGGCGGGTTGGTGTGGTGCCGGATTGGTGCTTAACTACGTGCTGGTGGAGTTCTCGGGCAAGGGGTCCTTTTTGCTGGAATTCGTCTTTGGCCAGGACTTCTGGCCTATTTTTCTTTAATCTAATAATGGCGGGTGTTCGGCAACGGGGTCTTTTCCCTTTCCCCGTGCCGTTGGTCAAGGAGTTGGACGGGAAGGTAAAGTCTTTGCCCCGGGCTGTGGTCAGGAGGATTGAGGAGAAGCATCATGTGGACGAGTGGGTTAGGGATATTGTTATCTCACTCAACAGCATGATTGGTGGTGATGATCAGGGAAGTTTTGGTGACCCCCTTCGACCCACCTTAAGCCAAAAAATCAGCCTGGGCACGTTGCGCCAAGCAGTTTTGGATGCCGGTAAACCGCCTGATGGCATCACTGTTGAGGGAGCCCTTGGCAAGCTCCGCACCAACTCCGGGTACACGTGTGGTCCTGTGCAGGCTCCGATGAATGTAGACCTGGTGTCGCTCCCTCTGAAGGGGTCGGTGGCGGTTTCGCTGTCATTGGTCTTTGAGGAGGAGGCTGAGAATGTTCTTCGTCGGCTGATGTCCAAGGTGTCGGCTGAGGAGGTGATCGCTGGCAGGAAGGCGAACTGTGGCATGGACCCCCTCCTGAGGCAAAACCCGCGGGGGTATGCTGCCTTCTGTCGGAGGCTGTCCGAGGCGGGGTTGATCGAGCACAAGGAGGGCTTCATTGGTGAGGTGGGGGCATTCGCCGTGTGGAAGAAGAGTGGGAAACAGAGGTTGGTCATTGATGCAAGGCTGGCCAACATGCACTTTGAAACTCCAGACAAGGTGCAGCTCACAACGGGCTCAACCTTTGCAAGCTGATGCTTTCTACCATTTGGAATTGCCGGAAGCGTTCCGGCCGTACTTCGCCCTGCCACGGGTGAAGGCTCAGGATGTGGGCGTCCAGGACAAGATCGAGGGCAAACGTGGATGTGTTTACCCCTGTCTGCGGGTGGTGCCGATGGGATGGACACATGCTCTATGGGTGTGTCAGATGGCACACCAATGGACAGTTGATTCACACCCCTATATGCAGCCAGGACAGCGGTGCTATGATCGAGCCGCGGTGCCACACATGCGTGACCACATCCATTGCCAGTACGTGGACAACTACGTGGCCATTTCACAAAAGCCTGGCAGCACAAAAGAGTTGGCTGAGTTGATGGAAGAGGCCCTCAATTTGCATGGACTCCCCACTCCTGATGTCGAAGCTGCTCAGGGCCTCGAGACGCTAGGCTGGTTGTTCACGGCTGGTCGCCCAGTTTGTGGCTCTCACTCACAAGAGGATGTGGAAGCTGCGTTTGGCAGCTTTGAAGTTGGCGGAGGTTGGACGAGGTTCTGGGCGACTGTTAGTTGGAAAAGCTCATGGGTCACTTCACTTTTGCTGGACTCCTCCAACGTGGCTTTTTGTCGGTATTCCAGGCCTGTTACGTGTTCATGCGAAAACACTATGAGCAAGAGGCTGCGCTTTGGCCTGAAGTAAAAAGGGAGCTCTTCTGGGCGGCCAGTCTGGTCTGCTTAATCCGGAGAGACCTTGCGGCCGACTGGTCGGAAAGTGTCCATGCCACGGATGCCTCTCTCCAAGGACGTGGCATCGTCAGCACGGAGAGGAAGAAAGAAGACGTCAAAGCATTGGGGAAACGCAGTGATCGGTGGAGGTTTTCAGACTCGGAGGAGAACGAGATCATTCGTCGAGACCTTCGACTTGGTGGATGTGGAGGACTTGAAGTTAGCTGCCTCAGACCTGTCAAGTGTTGGTGCTGGCGACCCCATGGAAGTGCCTTTGGCTTTCATTGGGGAAGATTGGCGTCAAGTTGACGGGGCCCTGTGGGAGCGACCCGGGGCAATCCCCATCCTCGAGGGAAGGTCGGTGGTCTGGTTACTCCAACATTTGGCTAGGTCCCAGAAAAATCTCGGGAAGAAACACCTTGTTCTTTCGGATTCCATGTGGACCCACGAGAAGCACATGCCAATCACAGATGTGCCCAAGCTGGACCACGCCCTGGCCAACTTCATCAACAAGATGTTCTTCGACGGCCAGGACCCCTCTTCTGGCGGCCACCAAGTTCTACCGCACCGATGTCGACAAGATGAACATTCTGGTCAAGGCCAAGGATGCAATGAAGGGGTTCCGGAAGCTCGAGCCGCCCCAAGGGAGGCCACCACTCCCATGGCCAATGTTATGCGTGATCGTCCGGAATGTCTGGGACGAGAACGCAGCAGTGGCGATGTGGTTGCTCACCATTTGGGCAACTCGTTGCCGCCCAGGGGAAGCCCTGAAACTCAGGCGCCAAGATGTGGTGCCTCCTTCGAAGATGAGCGACAATTGGATCATCATCCTGAACTCACAGAAACTCCAGGGCCAATCCATGACCGTGGAGAACAACGCCGACGGCAAGCCCGTGCCCAAAGTCAAGGTGGGGGAAAGCGACGAGGCCGTGATCGTGGATCAGCCCTACATGGCAGGCTTCGGCGAGATGCTGACAACCTACCTGGAGGACAAGGAGCCCCACAAGATAGTGTTTGGTTTCCCCCTGCACCAAGGCACCACCCTATTCAACAAGGTGGTGTCAGACCTGCAGTATGTCAGCCTCGGAATCAATTGTGTGCACCAGCTGCGCCACGGAAGCGCGTCGACCGATGTGCTCAGTGGCCTGCGCACACTCACCGAGGTGCAGAAACGAGGCCGCTGGTCCGTGATCAAGTCAGTGCGGCGGTGCAGCAACGGGGGCCGTGCGGCACAGGTCTATACACCAGCCTCAGCGCCGACCAAAAGAAGGCGGCCCTCAGCGCAGAAGTGGATCGAAAAGATTTTCGCAGATGCCGCCGGGTACAAGGTCTAGGCATTGGCCTCGAGATCTTCAGTGGCAGTGGACATTTCTCCAAAGCCATCCAACAGCGGCTAAAACAAGTTTTGTGCGTGGAAGTGGATACCTGTCACGGACCCCAATTTGACCTCACTTTGCCCCGCATTCAAAAAGAGATCTTCGATTTGCTCTTAACCAATCGGGTCAAATATGTTTGGTTGGGTACCCCCTGTAGCAGCTGGAGCAGGGCACGGCGGCATGATGGGAAAGGCCCGGGGCCACTTCGTGATGACCATGAATTCCTTCTGGGACTTCCGGGCCTGAGTGATAAAGATAAGTTGAAGGTTAAGGTTTGCAATTCGTTGATGAAGTTCTCGGCAAAGGTTTTTCGCATGTGTGTCGACTTGGGTATCCCTGTGGCTTTGGAAAACCCTCACACCTCTCGGTTGTGGTTGGCGCCTCCTATTCGTCACCTTCTATATATAAGCCATAAGTCAACCGAATGTGGGTACACCGATTTCTGCCAAGACTTCAAACCCTTTCGTCAACGTACCCGTCTACTTTGGGCCCATGTCAACCTAGGTGCTGCTCTTCGACATTGTGTGGGCAAACATGGGCTATGTTCTTGCACTGGAGTACGGCACCAACAACTTGCTGGCACTGAAGGAGGGCAATTTCGAACCTTGCTTGCACAGCCTTATCCTATGGGGCCTGGCTCGACTTTTTGAGCTCTCCATCCTGCACCGTGCTGCTGAGCCTCTATGGAAACTCATGGAAGGCCTTCAGCCAGAAACTGTTTCGACATAAATGTGCTGTTTGGTTTTGTGGTCAGCGCTTTGCTGACTGCAGCTTCAGTACAGCACAGCACATGGAAACAGATGAGTGCCTGGCCTGGAAAAAAGAAGGCGGCACAGTTCTGTGTATTGATGATGTCCTGTCATGTTCTGTCTATGTCTCTTTTTGATTCTTTTTGTGTCAGGTTATTACTATGGCCTTTCACTGGCCGTGACGAACTTATCGGTGGCCTTAGTGCCCATTGCCATGGTCAGTTTTCTAGTCATGCAGCTGACGCTGATGTGCGCTGTCCTCTGGTGGAAACAAACTTCGCTTTGTCTTCTTTGGCCATGGAGACTTAGCTGAAATTGGAGATTATGATGATGAAGAATGATCAAGATGTACATCAGGTATAGACATTGAGTGCTGATCATAAGCCGAACAGTAGGCCTTGACCCCAAGCTCCAAGTTTGCAACTGAAGTCGATCTTCACACATTTGAATCGAGATTGCAGACCTGGTCCAAGAAAAGTTAGGGCCAGGGGACATTTTGGAGCAAATTTTGATCATCCTGATCCTGGTCAGCTGTCTGTCCACCTTTTCGGTTCACTGCGATGGAACCAAGCCTGCCATTGAATTCATAGCAAATGTGTGGCTATGATATTGATGTCATATTGATGTCATTTGAATTCATTTGAATTTGATGTCATAGATTACATTCATGTGTCAGTGAAAAAGAATACCCTGTGGACGTTTTCAAATATTGAGAGAGCGATCACCCGAGGAGATACGCTGCAGCAAGTTATCATGACCTTTTTCTATCAGCAGGGACTCTGTTGCTCTTGAACTTGGTAAGTCCGCTGCTGATTCTGGAAGATGATAACAGTTCCTCGTTGCTTTCCCTACTTCTAGCCATCTTGGTGCTGGGGTTGCCGGTGGTAACTGCAGTGGCCGTTGCCGGCCTACTTTGGCGCTTCTGGAGGAAGGACTGACATGTTCAAAACGTGCTTAGGAAGCAATGTTTCGAACCATTTGTGATCCCAAAATGGTCTGGCCTCAATGACTTCAAATGACTTCCGTTTCTTCAACTGAGCAGGACACGGGTTTTGCCATGTTTTTGAGTCATCACAAAGCAGCTGCTGGTGCACTCTGTCGGCTGCTGACCATAGTCCTCCAAGAGCACAAGAAGCAGTTCAGGTGAGATGTTCAAACAGTTTTCTTCTCAACGCTTAGTCTGAAACCAGATCTGCCGGCAAATCTTTCACTGTTTTTCTTGCTGTGATATAACTTTCTTGCAGGTGGCAGATCTTTCTAGATTCAGTCCACGTCTCAGATATCCAAAGACTTGAGTTGTCCAACGTGCTCATGGTTACAGCTGTTACCGGCTGTTACCTAAGGATCGACTTGAAGAGGTCACAAGTTTGGTGGACATCATTCGATATCAGACCAAATGCTTCGTGCCTGTGATTTCTCAGGACAGACATGGGTAGAAATTGATAAACATGTGCCAGTGTGATGTGGCTCAGTATTCTCAATGGGGTGGTGAAAAAAATCAGCACTTTTGGTATGGAAACCCTGCGACTTCTCATTGTGGCATTGAACAGACCTGCTTCGATAGGTTCAGTGGGAATTTTGGCCTTGTTCAGTTTTCATATGTCCCTCCGTTTGTTTTTGTGTTCTTGGCTTTCAGGTTTTTTTTTGTCAAGGAATGTGTTGAATTCCTCACAAAGGTCGTTTTGATGAGGAGTATTTCCAGAGGCCGTGGTGTGTAGCTGAGCTTGCGACAGCCTTCCTGCACAATGTTCCACTTGTACCTCTTCTAATCGACGGATTTTCTTTCAGTGTCTTGGCTTCCGGATCTGCCATCATTTCGGCTACTGCTTTGAATCACGTTTGGAAATGTAACATATAGATGCATATACTGCATATAGCATAATATGAGAGGGTTTCAATTTTGATGATGAGGTGAGGATGGGCTGCAGACGTGCGAGCAAGTTTGCTCTTCGTTTCAAGGGGATTTCTTCGAACACCTCCAAGTCTCCTCCGAGACTTTACGAGCTGCCTACGAACACATCAGCGGGATGAAGAGTGAGACGAAAGTCTCGTGGAACATCCTCAACCGGAACGTGACTGAGCAAAACGTGATTGTCCAAAGTTTTATTTCGATATGCGATGAGTAAAGCATAGTAAAGCTGGTAATGACGGAAAATATGGTAAGCTGCGCATGCATCAACAGTGTCGAATTGACCAGTACGTGATGAATCTTGAGCAATTCTCCAAGGACAGTGTGAAGACCCAAGAACTTGCGATATTGAATTTGGCCGAGACTGTGCAGAGCATCTCTAGAAAAAGGGCAAGTTCAAACGTGCCGCCCGCGCCCTACATGCTCATCTCCACAGCGAGCAAGGCCGGGAATGAAGATTACATTTGGTTCATTTGGTCGGATGTGGTTTTGAGACGGTCAGGAGGTGTTTCAGACTGTTGCGTATTTTGGTTTGTTTTTTGTATAACTGGCTGGAGTTTAAAGTTTCTGAATTTGGTGACAAATTGTAATGCGCCTGCGATGCATGTTCACGGAACGTGGAAACGCGCGTGTTTGCCTCTTTGCCTGTATTGAAATTTTGACACAAATCTCAAGTGTTGAGTTAAGCTCAGGGTGTGAGTGTGTTTTCATTGACGGGGAACATATCAAAGCACACACTTTTCTGTACGGCAAGAGCCGTGGCAGATTCTTGCGCTTGTCAGCAGAGAGTATGCTTTGCATGTCCAGAATTGTTTTCCTGCATTCTAAACACCGCGCATGCCCCAAGATGTTGGCTTCATCGTTTTTCCAGGATGCAAAGTGTTGGGACATGTTGGTGTTTTTTCGAACTATCGTCGGATGTTTTCGTTTTCTCCTTCCGAGGCGCGAATCTTTGTGTGCGCCAGTGAGGAGCCCGAAGCGCACTCGACGGCATCTCGACGTTTTAACTTTTTGACAAATGAAACGAACTGAGAAAATTCGGAAGTAATTAGATGTAGTCAGCCGAAACTGAGTAGTAAAATATTTTTGAAGTGAGACGGGCGTCGCCATTTCAATGTTTGAGTCAGTTCAAATGGTCCAATAGAACACAACCAAAGCCGACCTGAAGTGAACCGTCACTGGGCAAGTTTGCAACGGAAGAAAACCTTTAAGCTAGCATAAAGCCGACCAGATATTCGTGCAGTGACTTGCAGTGCTGACTGTGGCCCTGCTTAGAACGTGTCAGAACCATATCACCTTTCGGCCACAACTCAGGCGATTCAGACGTTTCACTTTAGCAGAAGATTACTCGATTACCCAATACGCGGCGCATGATTCTTGAGGGCCCACAGACATGACATGGAAAGTTTAAAAACACAGAAGCATTGAACCAAATTGAGACGGCTGCGTGCTGCTCGGGAGAAAGCCTCCAGCGCTCAACCAAGCCTTTCAACCAGAACCAGATGAGTCAGTCTAGGATAGTCTAGGCAAAACTTTTGGCTTCGGGTAAGACAGTTTTTGACCCTTTCCATGGAGGCACTGGTGTTGCAGCAGCTGGTCCAACGCGTTCTTCTGTTTCTGGGCGTTTCGACAGGATCTCTTTTTCTTGGTCAAGATGATTCCTGGAATTTACACACTTGTGATGGCTCACAGTTCGGTTGTTACCGACGTTCAACCACTTGTCAGATTCAAAAAAGCACAGCGGACGTGTTCCCGTTGCTTCAGGAAATCATAGTAAATCATGAACAACTGAAGAACTTATTGACGCGTTGACGGGCGTTGCGTTTTTGAATTTCTGTGTTTTGTTGAGTCATTTTGAACTTGACTTTCAAGGTTTGTTTTGATGGATTGATAGGGTTTCCTTTGAATTGTTGACTTGTCATGAAGTGCAGATAGTGAGATATTGTCGACTTTCCCATCAGCATTATTGAGTCGACTTCTTCATTAATTTGAAGTTCGGATTTTAAGGAAAGTGAAAAGGTGTGTTTGCGGTCTTTAACTTCATGGGTGAAACAACATGAAACAACGAAGCTTCATTGATCCTCATTGCTTTGCAACGTTGTGGTCCTCCAGGCTTCAAGTGCATGTGCTGCGCGATGAGAATTTGCTCGAGTGCCGCGGGACCTCTGCTTTGGTGCTGCTCACCAAGGGCGCCTTGAAAAGTGGAAACGAAGAATGACATGAAAAACATCAAAACACATCAAAACGATCACGGACGGAGTATTTTTGTGTCGTGAAAGATCTTTCTCAATCCGAGATTTTCAGAGAGAATTGTAGCCTTTCCATGCGTTTTCAGTACGTGTGACATGCATGGGTTCAAAGTTTAGTTGAAAGATCTTTAGAGAGGGGAGCAATTTTGGAGCAATTTTGAAAGATGAAAACGGATCTGTTGCAAAAAAATGAAAAAAGATCGTGTGGTTGAAGTTGAAGCACGCACCAGGCGTCTACTTTGATGACAAGTTCACACAGCAACTTCTGGAACTTCAACGACTACAGTGCCTCGGCCAGGATGCCAGCGCCACAACTTCAAATTTGCGACGCCTCACTTCGATCATCAGTTTCAGCGAGGGTTGAGCCCTGGGTGTTGGGGTTGGGTTGTGTTACGTCCATGGCTTTGTCGCAGTTTTGCGAAGGTCGAGGATTTCTGTGAACGTTGGCTTAAAAACTGTGGCTGTCAGGGTGTTAAGATGTGTTAAGTCCATGGGGTTGTAAGTGCTGTGGAGGATGTTTGGTTCTTGCTGTTTTTGACCAGCTTGGAACCTGTAAAGACACTCTGGTAAAGACACCTTTGGAGATGCACCCCTGTAAAGACATTCATAAAGGCAGGTGCGACATAAAATGCGAGCAAGAATTCGGACAGTGTAAAAAGCGGCTGATCCTTCTTGGCATAAAAGCTTCTGTGCAAGTGCTGAACTTACTGTGCAAGTACAAACATGCTGTGGTAAATCCTCATTGGCGTCAGCGTGCCGGTATAGAGTTCATTTGCAAAGGGTAGAGTCCAAGAATATGAAGATAGACACTGCTAAAACGTA